CTTTTTTTCAAATCATCATTAGAATCTCAATTAAGCATATAGGAGTACCTATTTCTCTGTTAACCGCTTAACACAGAATAGCTGCATGTGCGCACTCCCTCAAATCGTTTGGAGAAAATATGTATATTTTATTCAGCTTTGTTCAATTGTATTCTTCATACTATAAAATAATGCCACGGAATTATAAGCAAATCTTGTCTGCTAAATAAACTAGTGTAGCCCACAGCCATTTGGCATAGCCAGATCAGGGCCTAACATACGGACACCTCTGAGTATGCTATTATTTTCTTCTGAAATAGACTACATTTTCTTCATATCATGCTTCTTTAGACCTGTCTAAAATAAATAGTGGATTTATTGTGAAGGTGTAGGCTATATTACATGGATTTATTATACTTTTTTAAATGGCTTGTAGGCTATGTGTGGACACCAGGAGATGCTAAATGTGTTTATGTTCATTAACGGTAAATTACGTGAGACCGAGAGTTATTTGCTTGACAATCACCTGCTGACGAAATGTTGTGACCGCCTCATGGGACCAACACTTTTAGTCACACCAGATACTGACTGGTTCTCTGATCCCACGCCCCTTTATTAATTTTTGTATATATTTTTTCCTCCCCTTTGTCTCATCGCTGCAACTCCCCAATGTGCTCGGGAGAGGCGAAGGTCGAGTCATGCGTCCTCCGAAACATGACCGCCAAACCACTCTCCTTATCACCCGCCCGATTAACCCGGAAGCCAGCTGCACCAATGTGTCGGAGGAAACACTTCAACTGACGACCTGCAGGTGCCAAGCCTGCAGGTGCCCGGCCCGCCACAAGGAGTCGCTAGAGCGCAATGATCCAAGTAAAGCCCCGCTGGCCAAACCCTGCCCTAACCTGGAAGACGCTGGGCCAATTGTGCGCCGCCCTATGGGACTCCCGGACACGGCCACTTGAGAGACCTCCTCCTAACTTTTTTAAAAGTTATCTGTGACCAACAGATGCATATCTGTATTCCCAGTCATATCAATTCCATAGATTAGGGCCTAATGAATTTATTTCAATTGACTGATTTCCTTATATGAACTGTAATTCAGTAAAATTGTTGAAATTGTTGCATGTTGCATTTATAATTTTGTTCAGTTTATTTAATGACGAGCAGAAGTAGTGGGGCAAAGGGACGTCAATCTACATTAGGTGTTTTCATTTGGAGATTAGGTTGTAATTAGGTTTTCTCCATGAAGAAAATCCCTTGATACATTTTTCCAGACTGACATTTATGCCAATTAATAACAATGAATTGTTTCTTGATAGGGTTCAACGTCATTACGGTTAGAGAATCAAGGCTTTTGTTGGCTATGAGAACTTTCAACCCTCCTGTAACAGTTTATTATATCAAAGTTTACTTAGAAAATGTGAAATCGAAATGACTATCACCACTATAAAAACCTAATTTCACGGTTTCAATTCATCACCTAATTAAAAACGAATTATGATTCACGTTTCCTTGTGTGAATTGAAGACTGAAACTGACTGGTAGTGTCTATGTGAGAGAAAGTAGAGTCAGAGAAACTTAAAGTCAGAATCAGAAAGTGTACCAGGGGCAGCATGGTGTAGTAGGTTGAAGTTGCCCCTAGATGCTGACCTTAGGTCAGTTTTGCATTGTGGGAGGGGAAGCTGATCCTAGATCTGTACCTAGGGGAAACTTCACCCTGGAGCAGGCAGCTCAGGGTAGGAAGTTAGGATAGTGTAGGTAAGTGCTACGCTAACTTAGGTCAACATCAGTAACAGGACACAGATGAAGTCTGACTAAATTAGGCTAAATGGGATTACATTTGTTGTAGCTCACTTAAACACCAGCCTGGACGTGACCAACAGATCCTTATGGGCTTTACAACCCTCTCCCCCCCATCTCAATGTTATGTTGTTGCAGTGGTAGCCTATATGCACCTATGGCAACAATAAATATGATACACACAGACTCTGGGCTTGCGATTAACTTACTCATGGACAAACAGAACACCTTCACTTCGGAGCATTTTTAGGACAAACAACTAATAATTGGAATCCATTATGAGAACCACAACCTCATCTGACTTTGAGCTTTTTTCTGGTTTCGGAATGACTTTCCTTTGACGGGAGGGATTATTTGGGATAATCAGATACGCTAGGCACCGCCGGTGCATTCAAGGGACAAACGTTCACCCAGTTCCCCCTTAAAAATGTACTAACGAGCAGAGGAGCGCAAACAGAAACAACAACAACATAAGCCTATAAGGGTCTCTTGGTAGCATCTTTAACAACGAGGCAGATCGCAGTAGCAGGCTAATCGCTGGAAGCATGGTAAAGAAGCCGGGGTATTAGAAAGCAGTACTGCAGGGATTTTTTTGCCATTGTAATCCATAGGCGAGCCGCCTAAGCGTTTTTTCGGGGCACTTCAGTTAAAAATAAATTATGATTCACGTCTCCTTGTGTGAACTGAAGACTGAAACCGACTGGTAGTTTATCTTCGAGATGGAAAAATGCTTTCAGTGTAAACTTCAATGACTCTAAAGTACGTAGAAAAGATAATGGACCTATATACACTGCTCAAAAAAATAAAGGGAACACTTAAACAACACAATGCAACTCCAAGTCAATCACACTTCTGTGAAATCAAACTGTCCACTTAAGAAGCAACACTGATTGACAATACATTTCACATGCTGTTGTGCAAATGGAATAGACAACAGGTGGAAATTATAGGCAATTAACAAGACACCCCCAATAAAGAAGTGGTTCTGCAGGTGGTGACCACAGACCACTTCTCAGTTCCTATGCTTCCTGGCTGATGTTTTGGTCACTTTTGAATGCTGGCGGTGCTTTCACTCTAGTGGTAGCATGAGACGGAGTCTACAACCCACACAAGTGGCTCAGGTAGTGCAGCTCATCCAGGATGGTAGTGTCCAGAGCCTGGAGGCGCTACCAGGAGACAGGCCAGTACATCAGGAGACGTGGAGGAGGCCGTAGGAGGGCAACAACCCAGCAGCAGGACTGCTACCTCCGTCTTTGTGCAAGGAGGAGCAGGAGGAGCACTGCCAGAGCCCTGCAAAATGACCTCCAGCAGGCCACAAATGTGCATGTGTCTTCTCAAACGGTCAGAAACAGACTCCATGAGGGTGGTATGAGGGCTCGACGTCCACAGGTGGGGGTTGTGCTTTCAGCCCAACACCGTGCAGGACGTTTGGCATTTGCCAGATGAAAGCAGGTTCACACTGAGCACATGTGACAGACGTGACAGATTCTGGAGACGCCGTGGAGAACGTTCTGCTGCCTGCAACATCCTCCAGCATGACCGGTTTGGCGGTGGGTCAGTCATGGTGTGGGGTGGCATTTCTTTGGGGGGCCGCACAGCCCTCCATGTGCTCGCCAGAGGTAGCCTGACTTCCATTAGGTACCGAGATGAGATCCTCAGACCCCTTGTGAGACCATATGCGTTGGCCCTGGGTTCCTCCTAATGCAAGACAATGCTAGACCTCATGTGGCTGGAGTGTGTCAGCAGTTCCTGCAAGAGGAAGGCATTGATGCTATTCCCCAGACCTGAATCCAATTGAGCACATCTGGGACATCATGTCTCGCTCCATGCACCACAGACCGTCCAGGAGTTGGCGGATGCTTTAGTCCAGATCTGGGAGGAGATCCCTCAGGAGACCATCCGCCACCTCATCAGGACCATGCCCAGGCGTTGTAGGGAGGTCATACAGGCACGTGGAGGCCACACACACTACTGAGCCTCATTCTGACTTGTTTTAAGGACATTACATCAAAGTTGGATCAGCCTGTAGTGTGGTTTTCCACTTTAATTTTGAGGGTGACTCCAAATCCAGACCTCCATGCGTTGATACATTTGATTTCAATTGATAATTTTTGTGTGATTTTGTTGTCAGCACATTCAACTATGTAAAGAAAAAAGTATTTAATAAGATTATTTCATTCATTCAGATCTAGGATGTGTTGTTTAAGTGTTCCCTTTATTTTTTTGAGCAGTGTATTTGTAAATAATATAACCTTTAAGAACTAACAATCACAATAATAAAAGCTAGACAGTCAGGGAGAATTGAAAATGTCAAAAACAATGGATTTAGCAGTATTCCTTTTGTTATTAGGTTTGAGCAAAAGAACACAGCATTATCCATGGCAAAATGCATATAATTGCAGGAAACTATCTTTAAAACTGCTCAATTCTCTCTTAGCTCCATGGCAGAATTGCAGGAAATGTGTTTTAAAAACGGCAAAAAATTATCTCAGCTCCATTTAGAAATTTGAAGAATTGCAGGAAATTGGCTTAAAATTGCAAATATTTTTCTACACCGCCAAAATGGGGGCCTCTAAAATTCCCTAAGATTGGAAGGTTGTGAGTTCAATCCCTGGCCGAATCATACCAAAGGCTGTAAAAATGGGACCTGATGGGTCTCTGCTTGGCATTAAGGAGCTAGATTGGGGGTAAGGTCCTGCGATAGACTAGCGTATTATCCAGGACGTGTACTTGTACATCAACCTGCCTCACGCTACAGAAACAGGAGATAGGCTCCTGCCCTATGAGATGTTCCGGCTCGCACAAGCCAAGGCTCGTTACTTACTTACTGCCACGCCCACCACCTAAGCCCCTTTTCGATCCAGAAAAAACCCTGTACTGTGCCGTTTGGCAGTTCAGCGTTGCAGTGTGACACATGTAAAACACCCCTACTGGATTAATTCTTCACGGCACAATGAAATATGCTGTTTGGGAAGCTCCTTGACTATTCATCTCTATTGAAAGAGATGCTGATGTGTCAGTGGTGAGCTCTTAAGAAACAAAATGGCTACCAGGCACCACCCAGCAGGAATAAAATTGTGTGCTGTACATGGAAACTGATTTAAGTTGCTAGCGTAAAATGTTAGTTGTCTTGACCCATGCTCTTTTAGAAAACTATTAGCTTTTGAAAAGCATAATCACAATCAATTTTCCAACGCCCTGTTTCCAGAGCGTCTTACCTCTCGACAGAAGGTAGTGATGTTCTCCCAGAGTTCCTTGGCTTCACCCTCGTCGTTGCGCCGCCTCGCCTCTACATGCATGCTCCCCCTCCTCTTAAGTGGCTTGGCCACCTTGCGCAGTGTCAGGTACTGCTGGGGCGTGTGGCATGCCGCGCAGTTCTTCGACTTGATGTCGTTGAGCAGCGTACACGCCGGACAGCCCCACTGCTTCTCCTGCAGCAGTGTGCACGAGGAAGAGGAGGACGAGGATGAGGAGGAAGAGGAGGTGGTGTTGGTGGCCGAGATCAAGGGGTAGACCCGGGCCTGTTTTCGGGCCTTGTGTCCAGAAGACGATGAGGAGGAGGCTGAGGAGCAGGAGCATGGGCCGGGGAGGCTGCAGTGCGGGCAGCAGCGAGAACTAGGCTCCTGGAAGCCGTGCAGCTTGGAGGTGCAGCAGGCTGAGCACTTGGTCATCCCGGTGGGGTTGCGTAGGGTACACTTGGAGCAGGCCCAGGTGCTGGAGTCCGGACTGGAGGGGTTGGCTGGTGTGAAGCGCACCGACTCGCAGCCCACCAGGTTGATGAGGTCGGCGCCGGCCTGCGACGAGTGGCATGCCTCGCACTTGGACGAGCCGCTCAGGTTGGGCAGGGAGCATCCGGGGCACTTCCAGGTTGTTGGCGATGTGACGGGGGTGTGGGAGGTGTGATGGGGGTTGGTGCCGTCCCCTTCCTCCAGGATGCTGAGGCGCTTGCTGGGGAAGGAGGGCTCCTGGGGCTGGGCTTGCTTGGGCTTGGCAGGGCGGAGGGGAGGGCAGTGCTGGGGCGGCAAGCAGGCCGTGGAGGGCGAAGTTGGGCTGAGGGCATTGGGGTTAGAGTTGGGCGGACGCCCCGCTGGGGGCACCTCTCTCCTGCTGCGGGGCACTGGGTTGTTCTGGAGAGAGGAGAAGGGCGTGAAAGGGGAGGAGAGTGGCGGTGGGGGCAAGTGGGTGTGGGGAGGTTCCTGGGGTTCACAGGGGGCGGCTGCGGGGGGCGAGTCATCCGTCAAGTCAATGAGGAGCGGGGGGGGGCCCTGCCACATGGACGGGAAACCCTAGCACAGGCGTGCGCACCTCAGGCACCACCAACGCCTCAGGGGGGATCTTGGGCAGTGACAGTTTCCTTGGTCCCCCGCAGGCCGAACACGACAATGCAACAGGAGTATTATGAAGCGTGCATCGCGGGCACGTCCAGCCCAAGTGGTGGTGTTGCTGCCCCTCGGGTCCACCTGGTCCATCCACCTCCCCGTTGCTCTCTGACCTCCTCAATGCCTCCTCCTTGGCAGGCTGCTGCCCGCGGGGCTCCAGGAGAACAGTGGGAGTCATGACCGGTGTCGGAGTCTCCGGCTGCATGGGCAGGAGGCCATTGGTGATGGCAGCCATGGTTGTGGTCGGCGTGGGGGTGCCTGGTGAGGATCCGAAGCCACAGACGGTGCAGGCGCCGGAGCCCTGGGGGTTTTTGAGGGTGCAGCGGGGGCAGGCCCAGCGTTGCTGCTCTTCGGTGCTGCTCAGCCTCAGGATCTGGTTGAGGTCGGGCTTCTGGCGCGGTGCCTCGCAGATGGAACAGCGCGGCGCCGCCCCCGTGTTCAGGAAGGTGCATCGGCCGCAAGACCATTCACTGAATGGCACCGCTGCCGCCATGGAGCCCGGGGAGTGAGAGTGGCTGTATGAAGGGGAGGGGGGAGGGGGGAAGAGAGAGAGAGAGAGAGATAGGGAGCAGACGTTAAAAAGAAGGTTTAAAATAAGTAGTAGAAAAAAGAAGAGATAGTGAGAGAGTGAGAGTGAGGAGAGAATGATGAAAGGAGAGGGAAGAGCGAGAGAATGATGAAAGGAGAGGGAAGAGCGAGAGAGCGAGAGAGAGAGAGAGAGAGCGAGAGAGAGAGAAGAGACAGAGATTAGCCAGTGCAGTGGAATCAAATCTCCCTCCTGGGGGCATTGAGGGCAGTAAATCCATAGGAGCCAGACAGACAGAGACAGGAGAATACAGAGTGAATCCACTCACAACCATCCACCTGACTGACACTTATTGGAATGGAGAAACACCGGGACCTTCTAATCTAACACCTCCGATCAACCTCCCTCTGGCCAATTCTAATGGAGAAGACAGAAGGGGAGGCCCAAATAGAGTGTGAGTTAGAATCAAAGCAATACATTTATTTAAATAGGCACTGACGGTTGTGTTCCTATCTTGGATTGGGGCTTTGTGCTTGCTGGTGTGTTTAGGCCTATTCTGAAAAAATTGACTGATTTTCAAAACTAGAATAACTAGGATGATTTCTAACTAGGATGTGTTCTAACTAGGATGTGTTCCAACTAGGATGTGTTCCAACTAAGATGTGTTCTAACTAGGATGTGTTCTAACTAGGATGTGTTCTAACTAGGATGTGTTCTAACTAGGATGTGTTAATATGGCCCGTCCTAGGGGACTGGCACGGTTGAGTGTGCCAGGCTGATGGAGGCGAGGGACCGGTACACCCCTGGGGACACTCGACACGGGGTACTGTTCGAGCGGAGCCCATAAATGTCATTGTCAATCAAAGCACTCATGTGAACACGGACATGGGGAGGTAAATGGACGAGGTGCTAAGAGCTAGCACCACTACCACCTCGCTACACCGCCCCGGCCACCCCATTGGTTAGCATACAGTGAGGGAAAAAAGTATCTGACAAAGAAATGATCTGTCTATAATTTTAATGGTATGTTTATTTGAACAGTGAGAGACAGAATAACAACAAAACAATCCAGAAAAACACATTTAAAAAATGTTATAAATTGATTTGCATTTTAAATGAAGGAAATAAGTATTTGACCCCCTCTCAATCAGAAAGATTTCTGGCTCCCAGGTGTCTTTTATACAGGTAACGAGCTGAGATTAGGAGCACACTCTTAAAGGGAGTGCTCCTAATCTCAGCTTGTTACCTGTATAAAAGACATCTGTCCACAGAAGCAATCAATCAATCAGATTCCAATCTCTCCATCATGGCCAAGACCAAAGAGCTCTCCAAGGATGTCAGGGACAAGATTGTAGACCTACACAAGGCTGGAATGGGCTACAAGACCATCGCCAAGCAGCTTGCTGAGAAGGTGACAACAGTTGGTGCGATTATTCGCAAATGGAAGAAACACAAAAGAACTGTCAATCTCCCTCGGCCTGGGGCTCCATGCAAGATCTCACCTCGTGGAGTTGCAATGATCATGAGAACGGTGAGGAATCAGCCCAAAACTACACGGGAGGATCTTGTCAATGATCTCAAGGCAGCTGGGACCATAGTCACCAAGAAAACAATTGGTAACACACTACGCTGTGAAGGACTGAAATCCTGCAGCGCCCACAAGGTCCCCCTGCTCAAGAAAGCACATATACAGGGCCGTCTGAAGTTTGCCAATGAACATCTGAATGATTCAGAGGAGAACTGGGTGAAAGTGTTGTGGTCAGATGAGACCAAAATCGAGCTCTTTGGCATCAACTCAACTCACCGTGTTTGGAGGAGGAGGAATGCTGCCTATGACCTCAAGAACACCATCCCCACCGTCAAACATGGAGGTGGAAACATTATGCTTTGGGGGTGTCTTTCTGCCAAGGGGACAGGACAACTTCACCGCATCAAAGGGACGATGGACGGGGCTATGTACCGTCAAATCTTTGGTGAGAACCTCCTTCCCTCAGCCAGGGCATTGAAAATGGGTTGTGGATGGGTATTTCAGCATGACAATGACCCAAAACACACGGCCAAGGCAACAAAGGAGTGGCTCAAGAAGAAGCACATTAAGGTCCTGGAGTGGCCTAGCCAGTCTCCAGACCTTAATCCCATAGAAAATCTGTGGAGGGAGCTGAAGGTTTGAGTTGCCAAACGTCAGCCTCGAAACCTTAATGACTTGGAGAAGATCTGCAAAGAGGAGTGGAACAAAATCCCTCCTGAGATGTGTGCAAACCTGGTGGCCAACTACAAGAAATGTCTGATCTCTGTGATTGCCAACAAGGGTTTTGCCACCAAGTACTAAGTCAAGTTTTGTAGAGGGGTCAAATACTTATTTCCCTCATTAAAATGCAAATCAATTTATAACATTTTTGACATGCGTTTTTCTGGATTTTTTTGTTGTTATTCTGTCTCTCACTGTTCAAATAAACCGACCATTAAAATGATAGACTGCAGGGGATCAAATACTTTTTTCCCTCACTGTATTATCATCTAACCGACTCCGGCACTCGCCAGCCCTGGAACATCTGTTACTATTAATAATACAGCGTTATACAATTTCAATGTGCGTTACAGTGGTGCTACACAGTAGGAAATACGTCCATCTCACTCTTTGTCCATGTAATAGTGTAGTAGAATTGACTGGATTCTACACTCTTTCGCATTTCCGATGAAACGTAGCCTATTTTTAAGAGTGGTGGTAGAGAAATAACAGGGTACGTCCGTTCAGTACAGTGATGATCATTGCAAAGGCATATGAAGCCGAACTGACTGTAGACTACATCCTAAGAAGTGTGCATCTTCCCTTTAAATACGATTCTGTGCACTCCTTTGAAAAGCATTGTGAGTCTATATTCCTTATGTCTTGTACTGTATGTTTTTATGCAGTAGGGGAATATGAAAAGCATTCTCTCTAAGATTGACAGCGATTGGACTGGCCCGGATCCCACTGCAGCTCCACTGCAGCTCCACTGGATCACCATGTGTCCTGGCACGCTAATTGCCCATAGTTCAACTCCATTAAACCCTTTCAGGCAAGAACACAGCTAAAACAGAAGAGGTCCTTTTACAGACCAGTACCTATCTCTCTACTCCTGTTCTAGCCATGGGTCCCAGAGGTGAAGAGAAGCGTCACATTGAGCTGCGGAGGAGGTGAGAGAGGAGGAGTGACAAGAGGGAGGAGTGCAAATGCTGCTGTAGTGCTGTGCGTGTGTGATTGAGAGAGAAAGAGAGCTATATAACGGGTAACGCAGGTGAAAAGAGACAATAATGAGCCGAATGAGATAACTGTCGCCTACCATTGAACATCTGGCTGACATGTCGTGATACCAACACCTGACTAAGGTCTGCATCTTACAAAATAGCATTGAGCTATATTGTTAATCTGCAGGCTATTATAATACTGTAAGCCTCTCAACTGCGGGAGGTTTTGATTTGATTTTCTTTATTTTAGTTATTTATTTTTTTGCGTATCTTCCTCTTACATGGTAGGCCTTAGGGTTGAATGGCGGGAACCCGGACACTGAGATTTTATGGGATTAACCTCCCAAAACCACTCCCTTTTCCCGGGATAAATAACTGCCAGAAAACTGTAAAGTATAATAAATTATTTATATGAACAGCATGGAGTGAAATGGAACTGTTAAATGATATGTGATGTTTAATTCTTGCTTCTCTACGGCATCTGCATGATGAATCATCAACGCTCAGGGTGGGTACAAACAGTCCATCTCAGTATGGAGTCAGTTCACAATGCATGTAGACCTACAGTTGAAGTCGGAAGTTTACATACACTTAGGGTGGAGTCATAAAAACTCGTTTTTCAACCACTCCACAAATGTCTTGTTAACAAACTATAGTTTGTGCATGACACAAGTAAGTTTTCCAACAATTGTTTACAGACAGATTATTTCACTTTTAATTCACTGAATCACAATTCCAGTGGGTCACACTAAGTTGACTGTGCCTTTAAACAGCTTGGAAAATTCCAGAAAATGATGTCATGGCTTTAGAAGCTTCTGATAGGCTAATTGACATCATTTGAGTCAATTGGAGGTGTACCTGTGGATGTATTTCAAGGCCTACCTTCAAACTCAGTGTCTCTTTGCTTGACATAATGGGAAAATCAAATGAAATCAGCCGACCTCAGAAAAGAAATTGTAGACCTCCACAAGTCTGGTTCACCCTTGGGAGCAATTTCCAAACGCCTGAAGGTACCACGTTCATCTGTACAAACAATAGTACGCAAGTATAAACACCATGGGACCATGCAGCCGTCATACCGCTCAGGAAGGAGATGCGTTCTGTCTCCTAGAGATGAATGTACTTTAGTGCGAAAAGTGCAAATCAATCCCAGAACAACAGCAAAGGACCTTGTGAAGATGCTAGAGGAAACATGTACAAAAGTATCTATGTCACTGTAAAATGAGTCCTATATCGACATAACCTGAAAGGCCGCTCAGCAAGGAAGAAGCCACTGATCCAAAACCGCCATAAAACAGCCAGACTACGGTTTGCAACTGCACATGGGGACAAAGATCGTACTTTTTGGAGAAATGTCCTTATGGCCATACAGTTCTATTTTTGTTTCATCAGACCAGAGGACATTCCTCCAAAAAAGTACGATCTTTGTCCCCATGTGCAGTTGCAAACCGTAGTCTTGCTTTTTTATGGCGGTTTTGGATTTCATTTGATTTTCCCATTATGTCAAACAAAGAGACACTGAGTTTGAAGGTAGGCCTTGAAATACATCCACAGGTACACCTCCAATTGACTCAAATTATGTCAATTAGCCTAACAGAAGCTTCTAAAGCCATGACATCATTTTCTGGAATTTTCCAAGCTGTTTAAAGGCACAGTCAACTTAGTGTATGTAAACTTCTGACCCACTGGAATTGTGATACAGTGAATTATAAGTGAAATAATCTGTCTGTAAACAATTGTTGGAAAAGTTACTTGTGTCAT